AAATAAAATCTTTAAAAAAAAAAATGTTAAAATGTCTACAGAAACTTAAAGGAAGCACTGGAACTAGTTAGAATGATAAAGGAGATGTAGAGATTTTCTACAAAATGTAGAAACTGTATTCTCTACATCAAGATGTATTATGTCGACAAACCTTACCACTTTTAAGAGTTGTCAGGAGTAGCCAGTCATTCAGCCTGGGCTAGGCTGGACACAACTGTTTGACTTTTAAGGCCACCTTTCCATTACTTTCTACCATGTATTCCCTAGCAGAGTAGAAAGCAGGCTTATCAAAATCCACCCAGACATCTGCATTATCTTCCTTGGGATCACTTGGTGATGCACGGGGAAGGGGTAAAACAATGGAAAAGATAATAAAACACGAAAAGCCAACAGTTGAGTAATGATCAAGGAATGTATTGGGTTGAATAGCATCCACCCAAAATTCATGTCCACTCAAGAGTCTCAGAATGTGACCCTACATATATTTTATCTTATAAAAAAAAAGTAAGGTCTTTGTAGATGCAATTAGTTAAGAAGAGGGCACAGTGGGTTAGGGCAAGCCCTAAATCCAATGACTACAATCCTTACACGGTCATGTGAAGACACAGGAACAGACAGGGAAGAAAGCCATGTGACAAAAGAGGCAGAAACTGGAAACTGGAATGATGTAGCTGCAAGCGCAAGAATGACAAAGATTCCTGGTGACCACCAGAAGCCAGCAAGAGGCAGGAAGGATTTTTCCCTAGAGCCTTTAGAGGGAGCATGGATCTGCCTACACCTTGCTTTTGGACTTTCAGCTTCTAGAACTGTGAAGGAATAAATTTTGGTTGTTTTAAGCCCTCAGTTTTCTGGTACTTTGTTACAGCAGCCCTAGGAAACTAATAGAAGGAGGTATAGAAAAGGTTAACTGGGGCCAGAAGCTTGAAAGATAGTGTGGGTAAGAATAAACAACAGAGTTTGAATTAATAGAGTTAATGATTTGAAAAGAATCTGTACTCAGAAAACTATAAAATACTCATGAAAGAAATTGAGGAAGACACAAAGAAATGGAAAAACGTTCCATGCTCATGGATTGGAA